TGAAAAGAAATTTAAAAGCCTGCCAGGTTCCACTGGACTCTTCCCACTAAAAGCAGTATGAATCCTTTCCTAACACTGCAAAATGAAAAAAAAAAAAAAAAAAAGGTTGTGGCCCATATGTATCGACATAGCCAGATTAATGCAGCAGGTTTGGCTAATTCGCAAGAACTGAGCCATCCAGGATTGAGGCCCAGAGCTGTTGCATTATTTATTAACTGTCACTTTGATACTTTTCCCCAAGATCATGCAAGTCCACTAGGCACTGTGTTGCTTTATCACCTATGTTGTCTGTGAGTCCCTACTTCTCTTTTTGAAAAGAGTAACTGAATGGCAACAAGAAGCATGAGAGCTACAGCTGAACAGTTCAGTGTTTTTCTGAGGATGCCACCTTGGTGTTTGGAGAGGACTTTTGCTGCAGCAAGCTGCTCCTACTCTCTCAGCCACAGATCCTCAAAAAAACCCACAAAGATCACTTGTAATGGTACCTGTGATTCGATAAGGTTTGCTGTTATGTCTAAGGAGAACTGGGTTGGTGTAAAGTGGTGGTTGTTTATGCACGTCAGCTGTTCTGCTGCAGATGAAATGCAGGGGAAGGAAACAACCTCACTAGTCCACCTCAGGTAATATTTTGACCTCAGTATGTCTATTTTGTCATAAAACTAAAATCTTTACTGACTTTTACCTTCAGAAGGCTGATTTGGATCTAGGAACCTGAGGTTTAAAAATATATATATATATAATCTGTATCAAAGACAGTTCCAGAGAGCAGTCTCAACCCACATTCCTCATCTATTAACAGGAATTTCACCAAAAAACCCCCATGTTTTGAGGGCCTGACTGCTCTTTGCTGCAAGCATTTGGAAGTCACAGAATCACAGAATCCCAGAATGGGTCAGGTTGGAAGGGACCACAGTGGGTCACCTGGTCCCACCTCCCTGCTCAAGCAGGATCATCCTAGAGCACTTTGCACAGGATTGTGTCCAGACAGTTCTCCAGTGAGGGAGACTGCACAACCTCTCTGGACAATCTGTTACAGGATGTGGTCACCCACACAGTAAAGAAGTTCTTCCCCATACTCAGGTGAAACTTCCTGCGCATCCGTTTCTGCCTGTTGCCTCTTGTCCAATTGCTTGGCACTACTGAGAAGAGCCTGGCTCCATCCTCCTGACACCCTCCCTCCAGATACTTATACACATTCATGAGTCCCCTCTCAGTCACCTCTTCTCAAGGCTGAATAGACCCAACTCCCTCAGCCTGTCCTTGTAAGAGAGATGTGTTCCAGTCTGTTCATTATCTTTGTTGCCCTCCACTGGACCTGTTCCAAGAGCTCCGTGTTTCTCTTGTACTGAGGAACCGAGAACTGGAAACAGTACTACAGGTGAGGCCTCATCACAACTGAGTAGAGGGGCAGGATCACCCCCCATGACCTGCTGGCAATGCTCTTCCTAATGCACCCCAGGATCTCATTGGCCACAAGGGCACACTGCTGGCTCATGGGCAGCTTGTTGTCCACCAGGACCCCCAGGTTCTTCTCCATAGAGCTGCTTTCCAGCAGGTCGACCAAGGTCTAATGGGTCCCAGGCCCAGCAGGTCAAATGGGAAATAAAACCCAAAGCCATTTAGAAAACAGATGGATTAGATTTTTCAATGACTTCCTGGGCCATGAAATCAAATGGATATTGAGCATTAACAAGGACACAAACACAGCGGTGTATCAGCCTCAAATATTACACCTGTATAGCTATTCCCACCTAAACCCTTACCCAGGATCCTTAACAGCTGCCTCAGACACAGCTTAGTACAAGTGCCTCACTCTAAGCAAGATTAAACTTTTATACAAAATTCACCTATAGCCTCTGCTCCACAACCATTTCAGTGGGTGCCCAAAACTTATGTAGGTAGCACCTTCTGAACACTACTTCAAACTCAGCTCATCAGCCACGCTTCACTCAAAGTTCAACCCTGATCCCAAGTCAGCAACCTCTGCCTGCCTAGGAGAGAGCTGCTGCCACGGTCAACACTGACGTCCCTGGCATAGCCGGCAACAAACTCAGCTCACTGGTCACTGAATCTCTACCCTTCACACTCTGCCCCATGTGTGATGTTAGCCTCACCACAATCTCACACTTAAACCCTTCCTAATTGTGTCAGGGTGACAAAACACCAGAACAAACCCAGATTGCCACCAGCCTGACTCAAGCTCATCATGCCCTCGTGGCTCAGCCATATACTCAATCCCAAAATACAGCCCCTTTTCTTCTGATATAATTTTAACAGAGTAGCTGGTTGACCTATTCCGGCATGTTCTCTGCAGTGAGCGGTTGGCAGAGTACAGGGTATCCAAATTTTATTATTCAAAATCAGTTCAGGTAGATTTGGGATGCTTTTCAGCTAAAAACCTTCAGAGAACCACGTGTGGCAGCACATGTGATTTTAATGTCATACCTCCTGCACTTCTGTAAGCCCAAGAAGCAAAATGGTTTCTCAGAATAAAACAGAGAAGCCCCGCTGCCTCTCAGCTATTTGCTGCTGCTGGCCCCACACTCCTGCAAAGCTACAGTGCACTCCACAGCAACGAGCAATAGATGTCTGGTACAACAACTAGGATCATTTGGGACCAAGGAGAACTAATTCTGTGGTCCACTGCAGTCTTTCTGAACTCTAAAAGGAGGTCCCATGACAACCTCATTCCAGGTTTTTATGACACTGACTTTTGGAAGGGAAGAGGATACTAGGCTAGTCCAGTAGTAAGTGATGAGTCTAGCTTTTGTCTCTTACATCAAACTCTGACTCACCCTGCACTGATACCAGCTCGAGTTCTCTTTTAATTGGGAAAATCGCTAGGATAGTACTCACTGCCAGAATTCTGGGTCATAAAGTCATTCTCTGACTCAGAAGAAGGTTTACAACAGCTGTGGCAGTGATATATTCTGTAGGTGAGTCATGTCGAACTATTAGCACAAATATAAGAACCTTATAAAACAAATAGATAAAGAATTGAACTGACCTATCTAAATTATAACAATACATTTGTTATTTTATAGCAAAAGGCTTGACAATGTTTTATTGTGCACTCAGTTTTCAGAAATGCAAAATTTAAAAAATGAAGTTACTAAGACACTTCTCATCATATGAATCCAAAAGAGCTTTTTTAAATTCAGAGGTTAAAATTTCAGCGGATACAAATTTTCTGGCAGGCATTAAATTTGTGGAGGCATACTGATTTAAAACAGCTCAGAATCTGATTCTAGATTCATGGGATGAAATCCCATGTTTATTGATTATGTAACTGCAAATGCAGATTTGTCTCAAGTGCAGCATGCAATGTATCTAACAGCATATAACAAAATACGCCATGCATATTCAGAAGTAGAAAATGTCCTGCTCAATTTAAATTGTGTGAAATTTAAATAGATAAATACTATTGGGTTTTCTAATCAAGGATTTCAAGAGATAAAGTTAAGAAAATGCATAAAATATTAATTAACTTTAATGAATTACTGACCTTCAGTGAATGGACACTAAGGTAATTTCACTGACTTAGGAGGCCCCCATTACCTGAACATTTAATCCTTTGACTCTCCAGTAAGCTAGGCTACTACAACTAACACCACAAACCAAACTCAGCAATAATCATGCCAAAGCACTGGGAAAACCTCTGGTCTCCAGCCAGAGATTGTGAAATATGTGTTTAACAAGTCACAACCATTTGTGGGACAACTGATCCTAGGGGAAAACTACAAGGCTATCCTGCAGTACCAACTCATCACTGGGAAAACCAAGTGGTCTTAAAGCAATCTTTGAGACCACTTTCTCCCTTCTATTACTTCCGGCCAAGAGTCCTAGTCCAGCTATTAGGTGCTGTTTTTTACAGTATAAAATGGGTTGCCTTTGGTGGAGTAAAGTGAGTTTACAGATGCCTACGTATAAGGCCAGAGTCATGGCTCTGGTGTGAGAAGGCAACAACCATCCACCTGAGGGAACAAACGCCAGAGCAGGTATAGCAGTGTCTTCAAAGGGCCTGTGGGCTCCCTCTGAGAGGAGATGCTGGGGGTGCCTCTCGCAGTCTGCGGCCGCCGGCAACCCACGCTGAGGAGCGGCAGTGGGGCCGAGGGGTCCCCATCGCTGCCCACCAGCTCATCACCCACCCGGGCCGAGCGCGGAGCCCTCGCCCCCAGGGCAGCACTGCGGCAGCCGCCCTGGCCCGCCCGGGGGCTGGCCCGGCTGCTCCCGCCCGCTGCCTGCCTGTTTCATTCATGCTTTCTCCTTCGCCATCTCCCTCTCCGGCTGAGGGGAAACGGGAGCGCGCGTGGGCGGCCGCTGGAAGGCTCCCTGTCAGTCAAGCGGCCGAGCTGAAAAGAAGGCGAGCGAGGGAGAAGGAGGGAGAACAGCTTTCCCGGGGGAGGGGGCGGCTGTTGTCGCTGCCAGCCTCGCAGCCCTTCCCGGGGGCATCTGCAGAGACGGGGGGGGTGGAGGGAAGGCGGGAGCGGTTTCGCACTACAGACCTTCCTGCCTGGAGAGAGAACGGCTCTTTCCTGCCGCTCGTCACCTGTCCCCCCCCTCGGCACACACACACACTCAGCGGCGACGGGGCGGGGGGCGACAGTCGCCCTGTCTGGCGGAGGGGCCGGTGCCCCCGGCGCTGGGGGGGCTACCCGTACCTGTCTGCCGGGGGCTGCGGGGGCGGCGTGAGGGAGAAACGAGCCCAGTGGGTGTCAAAGGCGGGTGGGTACGTGGGGCGGTGTGTCCCCCTCATCTCCCCCCGGGGCTGGGGAACTTCCCGGGGCTGAAGGGCGCTCCGTAGTGCCGGCACCAACCGCAGCACTGGGGGGCTGCTGAGAGGGTTCTGAGGGGCGGCTGGGGGCAAGTGGGACGGCTCCGGGCGGGAGGCGGCCCCGCAGCAGGCTGAGGTGGGCTGGCGCTTGGTACCGGAGGGGAGGGGAGCGGAGCGGGCGGCTGCCAGCGGTGCGGTGCAGCGGGGCTGGGGGCTCAGCGCGGGAGGAAAAACCCACTGCTCCCCGCGTCGCAGCGGGCGGCGCTGCCTTTGTGCTCCCTCCGCACCTGAGCGCCGGGCTGGGAGGGACGGCGCAGGTGGGGGCGGGCACCGGAGGCAGCGGCGGCGCATCCCCGGAGCCGGGGCGGCGAGGTAAGGCAAGGCAAGGCTCTGCCGTGCTGCGGCGGCCGCTCCCGGGGCTGCGGGGGGTGGCTGCACGCCGGGGGCTGCGCCTCCGGGCGGCGGGGGCGGCGGGCGGGACAGGTCTCCCTTGCTTGGCTTTTCCTGCAGCCGCTTCCTATTTCGTCCTGCTGCACGGAGAGAGATGCAACAGCGGCAGCCCGGTCCCCCGGGGAAGGACGGGTTTTGGAGGTGGGCGAGCCGCATCAGCCCGGCCGGTGCGCGGAGGGGCTGCGGGGCGAGGGGCTGGGGCCGGGGGGAGCAGCCGGCGGTGCGTTCACGTTCGCGTTCCCGCGGGCAGGGCTGGGGGGGCCGCACACCCGAGGCGCCCGCTCCGCTCTCCCGCTGCCCGCCGGGCGCAGGGCCCGGGGGGCGGTGGCGGCGTGCGCAGGGCCGGGGGTTTTCTCCCGTTTTCCCCCACCAAAGAACGCCAAGATACGCGGGGCAGACGCCGGTGTACGCGCTTAGCGGATCTTGCTTGCGAAGGGGTGGGAGATTCGGGGGAGGCTGCTTTCGAACCGGCACAGTCGGTAGTTAACTACCGGCTGCAGTTGAAATTTTAGCAGCAGCAACAGCTTTGCGATGCTTTCCGGGAATACTGCTGTCTGAGAGCTGATGTTCCAGGCAGCCCGTGGTACGCTGCCGCTTTCTACTAGATGGCAGTGCTGAGAGCGGGATAGTTGCCGTGGTAGGTAATAAAGTGCTGGGAAGCTGGAGACTTGTGTGCAGCTGGATTTTGGTGGAGTTATGTGTGGAACAGAAGACAATTCACATGTGCCCTGTGAGCTCATTTGCAATTAAGACGAGTTTTTTCAAACCTTACATATGGTTATCTTGTTATTCAATTACGGTTTGGTGAGACTGTGATTATTACATTATGTTAGAAAGGAAAAAAGAAATTTGGTAGGTTAAGCTCTTTTTACAAAGTTGCCAAGGTTCGGATCCAGCTCTGTGGCTGCCACCTGATCGACAAAGATTTGCAGCTGATGATCAGATTCTGTGCTTGTGTCAGAGCAATACATTACAGAGTCAGAAGAAACGTGGCTGTATTACCCTCTTTTTTTTTAATTTAATGTCGTATATACTGAGGAAGCAAATTTTTTTTATTTGATCACAATGTTAGTCAGTTTGATATGATAAATTCTTTGTTTTATGAATTATACAGTTAGTGGCTCAGGTTCCAATCTTGGACAGACCCAGGGTTCACATTGGTTTCAGAAGTTGTGTGGTACATGACAGAGTGCTGAATTTTACTGTGTAGAATATCTGAAGTAAATTTTCTCACTGCCCTACATTTCCAGTTTGTTCCTTTGGAGTAGCAGAATGTAATGATTTTTGCCAATGTTTTTATTGATATATTTGAATTAGGGTTGTATGTGGAAAGCCAAGGATTGTTCAGGGGCTCAATATGTGCCTACTGAGAGAGAAAATTTAGCTCGTTGACTTCAATGTGAATAAAATGGACACTAGAACTCTTACTTTACATTTGCATATAATGAGTCCAAACATTTTCAGTAGGTATGTGCAGAAAGGTAAGCACATCACATTCGTTTTATTCATTTTGTTATAATTGAACAGACATTATTCTTTGTAGTATTTTGTCATTGGTTTGTAGGGGTTTTTTTACTGCTTATTTAGCATTGTTATGGTTAAAGGGATAAGCTTTAAAATATTTGTTACTCCACTGCAGAAAGAGTTGCCAACTGGATGTCATGCGTGTAAAACTAGAACAGGAGCCTTTAAATAGCAAAACTATCAATTCAGTAACAATTTAGTGTGCTAAATGGCAGACTACACTTAAAAGAATGCAAATCTGAACAATTATAACATGCATCTTTTGGTATTGATATTGTTAATGTACAAAGCACAAAAGGAAATAAGCACATACAACTTCTAAGTACCTAAACTGCTTTGAAATGGAAGGGCTGTTTTCTATTGTGCAGTTTATGCTTAAAAAAAAAAAAAAAAAAGGCAGAGTGGGGAAAAGATGAGAAGTTTTTACAAGCATCTATTTTGTTTTCTGGATCTCAAAATTCCATTATGTAGCAGGACGCTTTCCAGTATCTGCTTTCTCAGTATCTGGAAAGGCAGATGTTGCTGCAGCACTAGCAATTACACTGATTTGCAGCACAGCAGAATAAAACCCTCTGTTCTGACTTTCTGCCTCTGTCTAAAACAGTCAGCCATATAGCTCTGTTTTGGGCTTGTCAACAGAAGAGATGAGATAGGGAAGTTAGGTTTGTTCAATAAAGGGAGTGAATGTAATGTACAATTAGGAAATCTCTGTTCCAAGAATAAAATGATTAAATTTGCCTAACAAACTGCATTGAAGAATTCCATTTGCTCGGATTTACCTTGCAGTTGTCCACAAACCAATTCTTGCCAGAAGTCAGGTAGTTTTGCCAGGTTTGGTTGCTTGTTAGTTGCCTCACCAAATCACTCTGTCCTGTGGGATGTTGAGTCAAAAGGCAGAAGAGGCAACAGAGACTAGAGCCCTGCAGGCTTTTGTAGAACAGCATTTCTGACTTGTAGCTTTTTAAAAGGTGCATAACAGAATCCCAGCTTCACTAAAATGACTGAGAATTTTGCTCTCACAGTTTCACAGTTCTTTTTCAGTTTGCTTCTTATCCTGTGTGGGCCACAGCAAAATGTGACTGATGTGACCCGAGATTCAACCTACGATAAGGAATGGATTCTTGGTTTAAACTGATGATTATAGAGTTTATCTTTAGTTTTCAGAGATAAAGTGTTTCTACTTTAGAGAATATTTGAGACTTCCTGCAAACAAAACGTGCAAGTGAAATTTAAGAACTGAAGGGTTGATTTGTACTAAAGCATCTTTAGCAGAATAAGACCAGAAGAGATGCAAAGTATGTGTGTGCTATATGTATGTGTGCTGCCATATAACAAGTGAGCCCTGATATTTAAGAAAGGCAATGGTTTTGAATATCTCTGGAAGGTGACAGGATTTTTTATCTCACAATCGAGCTCATGCTCTTTTCAGACTCCTCCCTTAATCCTATGGAACCAACTTGTCCTGTGATTTTGAGCAACATTTTAAAGAGCTAGTATAGTAATAATCTGCTTGTTAGAAATCAAATTCAAGCTCCTGTGTTGTAAGAGTCCTCATTTGTGACCATCTAGAATGACAGTAGTGGTATGTTATTGGTTTGTGTCTTTTTTCCTTTTTACCCTTCCTTGTTTGGTGACCTGCTACATGTAACCTGACTCCTAACCTGTTTGGAGCAGGAGAAGCCTTTCCTACCTTGTTTCAGTAGGGCTCAAATCCCTGTTTGCAGCTCCAAGAGATGGGTGTAATAGAAAGTAAAGTCTGACCCTGGTTTAAGGTCATGGGGAGCTGCCCAAAATATTTAATATTTTTAAGAGTTGGACCTCTAGCATAAAAAAATTGCTTCTTGTTTCTTTGTGATTCAGTATCATAACTGCTTCATACTGTGTTTCACTTCAATATTTATGCGTATAACATTGAGATAGTGCAACCTTCTGTATTCTTATAGTAATTCTGACCTGTGGACACCTGTATGTGCTAATGGGAACTTTTGTGTTTGATGCAAACTCACCTTTTTGGTATAAGCAACTCGATTAAGTTACAGAGAGATTGTGACCTCCCTTATCTATCATCAGATAAACACCTTCAGACTAGCCTTGACAACCACCTGACAATATAATAAAGCCATTTAGGCCATCTTTTAGAAAAGAATATCTGAGGCTGAGCTCAAATAGCAGTGAGTGCTAGAATGAGTGAAAACTGCATGCAATATCTTTTATGTGCATGCATGTGTTTAGCATGGAAACTGTCTTCATAATACTATGTGTGCAAACTTGGTACTTCTAGATGAGGCATAGTTTCAGACAGGTTTTGAAAGCTTCAGTGAGAAGGTACTAATCCCTGCAGTGTGCAGAGCCTGCTCCTTGCTAGTTATGCCCTCTATCACACCCACAGCTAACATGTCACTCTCCAAACTGATGTCTGTGTGCATCCACTGCTTCATCAACCTGCATAAGCTATGACACAGCTAGTCTTAATCACATTGCTTTTAAAAAATCATTCAAATGTAATTCATGTATCACTAGAATTGTTCTACCACTCGTTTGTCCACAGCTCATGTTTCATTAAAAGTGCTGAGGAGCACTCAGGACTCTGAAGACAGCAGTTTTGTGCAAGATAAGAATGTTCCTTAAAGAAGCTGATGGAGGATAGAACTCCAGAGTTCCTGGCAGACACTGACAGCATAAGATGGCACCATAGTCTAGTCTGAAATTGTAAGTCTTAAGGAGGACTAGATGCCCTTGACTTTACCAGGAGTTATTTCACTGAAGAAAATTAATAGTGGGCTAGAGATCACTAGAGTGGACTAGGAGTCTTGGATGCTAACACTGTATATGACGCCTTGAAATACATTGCACAGTTGTAGCCCCAGTGTTAAATACAAAAACCACCACCATCCTTGGCAGATAAGTGCCCTCGGGGGGAAAAAATCAGTGGATATATAGTGGGCAAGTCCAGTGGACTTAGATTTTTCCCTTTCAAAAAGTGGAAGAACCTTATCTCTGTCTTCCGTTTCCTTTCACCTTCATTGCACAGTACTTGTAAGAAACAGTAAATGCAGAAAGAATCTTGCAAAGTGTGTTTCTATTTGTAAGTAGGCCGTTATCAAATGCCAGCTTGCATTCCTACAGTACCCTGAGAGATGAAGGAGATGGATGTATGTCATTGAGAGATGGAGGGCTAATTTACATATGGAAATTTGCTAACAGTAGTGCACCAAGCTTATTTTCCATGCATGCATGCCTGCCTCTTACTGAAACAGGCTGTGAATGTATATATGCCTCAATATTCAGAGTGGCTATTCTGTGTAGACAGATCCTTAGATTAAAATTACTCTTCCAGGAGTCGGTGAAATCAAGTCTAAACTTAAAGGAGAATAAAACAACAAAAGGAGCCCAATAACAATGCAAGTAGAGGTATAACAAGAGCCCAAATATCTTCAAAGTACATGTACTTTGGCAAAGCTATGCATTTTCATCTGTGAACCCAATATGAGAATTTAAGGTTAAATATCCTCTTACGTATGCACTGCTTTGTTTATTCAGTATATGTGTAGTGAACAGAATACTTTCTATTTAGGAGAACAGACACTAATCTCTTCTCTGTGGTGACCAGTGACAGG